GCAACTCGGTGAATCCAAGGTTCATAGCCCAGTGTTTCCACTTGAAATTTTAAAAATGAAATTAGGATAGCCGTTTACAAAATAGGGTCTCTGGACTTCTAAGCAATAATGTGCAATATTCGTAAAAGCTATTGAATGTACTGTAAGACATCACCAAGGTCAAATAATGAATTGCTATTGAGGTATTGTAAAAGATTATATCAGACAGATTGCAATAACTCGGTCGATCGGTTATGCATTCAACCAGTGAACACCCCTTGCGGAAATCAGTGAACAAAGAATCGAAGCGCGATTCACATTATTTAATTTAGTGCTTTTTCAGAAATGACAAAAGACATTTCTCCTATAAAATGACGAATGCACCAGGTTCGCCATTATTTATATATAATTGCGGTACAATTGTGTCATTATCCGCTTTTATTTCCGATATTTAATGATGATTTACTCACTTATTTGACATTCAAGAATAAAATAAATTAAATACACCTTTCCAGGGTTAACTATGCTGCCTTATTTTTTTTTTCATTTGAAGCAGTTGATCATTCTTCAATATACTGAAAGATTGAAAATTACACGGAAAGATATTTGAATACATAATTGAAACGGTGCAATCCAAGCTTCGTAACTTCTCATGAAAGATGAGCCTCGAAGATAAAAGAACTAAATGGTCGACAATGGAACAATGTAATGACATTGGACACCTTGTACATGACTACCAATAAAGATGTGACATAATTATTTCACTAATTAATACCTGTAACACCTGAGCGCAACGGAGCGCAAAAACCACGTGTGACAGTGACAGTGGGATGGCATGGGGTATTTTCGTAAGCTGTAATCAATTGCTTTTTATTTTCGTAATATTGTAATTTAAATAAATAGAAAACGCAAATTCGTAGACATTGGCAAGGTGTAAAATGTAATTAGGTATTTTATTCGCCCGTAATTTGCATAATGATCTTATTTTTTGTAAGCGTATAAGCATTTTCCACATTGAATTCGTACGCAAATTCCAATTTTGATTCTTAAACACACATTATCAAATGTCTTATAAAAATGTAATTAGGAATTTGCATTTTTATTGTAAATGTAACTTTTATTCCTTGTAAAAACGTAAAATGTCGGTTTTATTTCCTGTAACCTGTACTAGCTATCCCCCAATACAGTTACAGTGAGTGCAAAGTAATAAGTTTATGATGGTTCGTCAATAGGCACTGCGCGATGTTCACAATAGTGCAACAATGTCTCTGTTTATAAGACAGACAATTATTGGACCCTTCATTTCCTGGGGTAAAATAGTAATTTCATACAGAACTTCATTACAAACCTAGTCTGGAATCCACCCATTCAGAGTGCCCTTCCCGGTGCACTCAATCAATATTCGTTGATTTTTTCAAAGTTTCACGATAATATAGGGCAAACCAAAACCAAATCGTGGAAATGTGGGTGAATCAGCTTGGGAGAGTATATCGTCCTGGCAATCCTTGTCTGCACTGAAGTATGCGCGACTTTGGATCTCTCATAGTGAACGACATTGATTATTATTGTATTAATTATATACGGGTATGCGAGGCACCAAATTTTGGTGAAAATCACGGTCCGGTAGACCAAATTTACACACTGAAACACATTTTTAAGAAAACCCCACTTCTTTAAACAAGCTTACAACACAGACCCTATTATATAGTAATAGTATATTTAATTTGACACGAAAATACATACTGACGGTCAACTGAACATAACACAGCGTATAACTGTAAAATTGTTAATTATTGGAAAATGTGCTAATTTAAAAGTAAAACCCAGTGAATATGTAAAATTGAGCGTAGAACACAACATATAAATGTTAAAACCCAATGAATATGCCTGAAATGCTAAATCAGTGAAATTTAAACCCAGTGAAAATTGGTCATTTGACATGCACTAGTTCAAAAGTATGGTAAAAAAGGGGGTTTATGTCCAATATGAAACATGATTTAAGTAAGTTGGTAAGTTCCTACTAGTGACTCGCTGTGCTTATGGGGGATACAATCATAATGTTGTATTTTTCACTCACTGTGACTACACCGAGTGGTCGTTTCGCTCCACACAGATGTTACCGGGTGGTACAGACATACACAACGTGTGGCGGTAAGATGCGGTGGTGGTGGCGGGGGACAAAAGGAACATGACCCGTAATAAAATCAACTGAGGTAGCAGATAGTGGAGTGCTTCGCCGGAACATTCACCTTGAAAACCCAATATGGGGCACACGTTACGCGTGTCTGTTTTGGCAGAAGCATTATTTACGCTAAAAATAACCAATGAACAAAATATCAATATATTTTGAATTATTGTTTTGATTTAAATGTGCCGGCCGGTTTTTGAGTTCATACTCAGTCTGAATACTGTGAAAAGATGCATACGACTATCGGTATAGGGTTATTTAATTGATGTGTGGCATTTTAATAAAATAACCGTGGAATTCTAAATTCAAGTCGTGTGTGATGTTCCAGGATGCGATACGAAGTGACATATACAGGATTGGTATAACCACAAGTATAAACACATCTCCATTACCTTACGACATTTTTTACTCGAATCGATCACTTGAATAATTGACATTGTACTATATAAAGCATTGCAATGTCATCGTGGATTAACTTTTTTTCCCATTTATTCGTATTGTATATTTCTCTATACCATGCAACTGACTCGTGGACGTAGTGTAGCATGTATCATTTGCATTTTGATGCCCATTCGGTTTAAGCATTCATATGCATGCACGTGTTCGGCTGTTGCAGAGTAATCTACGTATGAGTATCTTCGTAATGATTCTAATCATTTACATGAGTGATAATGTTGTATGTGCAATACGTCGAGTTTGCTATGCATATATTCAACTACATTTTTTCGAATATAATGGCGATTGGATTGACCGACAGGCAGTAACAAAAGTAAAAATTTGTAATTTGGTAACTAGTAAAAACACCAAAAATTGTTTTTATACAAAAACACAGCCGGAATACCGAGGCGATAAAATAATCAATTTAGCGGTACTTTGTGAACTCACATGGAACAAGAAGTAGTAGATGATGCCTAGAGCAATCAATAATCTAATATCATTTAGGTGGTTTATGACTCAGAGGGTCAGTCTGATATAATTTGACAATGTACACTTTGTTTTATTAAATATATATGCCTCATCGAACAGGATTACCATTCTCCGTTTGGGATTCCATCGAGACTATTGTTTAAAATGACTTGCGAAAACACGCGGAATATTTGTTGGGTAATTTTAACTCTAACCAAGATATTTGCTTCAGAGATTTCATAGAAACGTATAACATAATTAGACATTTGGCGACTATGTAAGCCCACTTTTCCACGTTTTCCTCGGGGAAAAGAATATTTTCTAATATATGACTTTAAGCAAAATATAGTTATTTTGTGGATATCATGAAATTGTGTTTTAATGGCGTTACAAGAATCACGCAAAGGTCTGTCATTCTTGAAATTCCATATTTTGCTACTGGATGACTAAGTATATATTTTATTATAAGTGAAATGCGAACTATAACCTCAATAAATGTTTACCGGATATTATAGTAAATTATTTTGATACCACCTCTTGTTCGGGCTATAAAAAATGTTTAATTTTTTTATTTACCATATTATACAGCAAAGATGAGGCAAACAGCACAAACATATGGCAATTGAAACTTAGTTAAATTAGTCGGATTGTTTGTACTGTTCAAACCCATCTCCATCAAACCTGGAACAGTATCATAAGATTTATAGTGAACTTGGTCCTGACAATGGCTATGTTACAATTATCCAGGTCTCCTACGACTGAATGTGTAGAAAATAATTATACGGTTACATGCCCAGAGCATTATTGTTGCAAATAATAAATATATTTCAAACTGAGATGTTATCGCAAAACGTACAACTAAACCCTATATCATAGAAAAAACAAGTTCCTTCTTTCTTTCCAACGAAAGTT